TATAGCAAATGGAAGGAACGAAGATAAGAGTTAACTGACTTCTGCCATCTTTGTTTGAAAGGTACACCCTGAAATAGAGCGATATGAGTGGGTATTCATCAAGAAGCCAGAACAAGCAAAAGCCTTGCCTCGCTCCCCACGCCAGCGTTCTCCATCTCCCTTTTCTCCAGAGAGGCGCTCAACACCCAGCCCTAACCACCTCACCGTGCCAAAGTTAGACATGATTAAAAACCGTCTCTCCCCATTCCTGGCAATTAGACACTTCAAGTTACCTTCCAAAACAGCTTCTATGTTTATGTCTGGAACTCAGGAAGGAATTATCATAGGTAATTATGCTACTATAATATTATACCTGCCACAGAGTCCCTACTGCAGCAAATACTTCTGGCGTCCCTGGTCCAGGTCTACGCAGCTTTCCCAAAGTGTTGAGATGAGTAACCTCTCACTTGTCTTCACAGTCCTCAACAAGTCAAAAAGTGTGTTTTGCAATTTAGAGCATTCTTATGTTTCTCTGAACAAAGCAGCTAGAAGTTACTAAGCTAGATACTCTGAGAAATGGGGACATATTTTTTTTAATTTAGGTACTTTTGGGAAATGCAGCTTACCATATTAGAAAGCCTCAACACTGTAAGTTTTTGCTTGGATGCTGTTGCTTATTTCTGAATGAGTTGCCATGGGCTTGCCATGGACTGTCTTACTATGAGACTTTCATAATAATGTGCTTACTGAAATTACTACCTGTATTCTAGATGAGTGGGCATAAGCACACTCATGCAGCTTTTCCTATTCCTCAGCCAGACAGCGGCCCTTTAGGAGCTAAAACTAGCATCCAGCACCAGCAAAGCTCAGTGAAAGACCAGGCAATGTTAACATTGTTTTGGGCCTTAGCTGCAGACCTTTGCTGGGAAAGCAGCTCTTTTTGTGGATAAGTGCTTCACCTGGGCACTCCTGCGGTGTGTTGCCCTCAGGGTCAAGCGGACGGGCAGGAGAGAGTGGGCCAAAGCTGCTTCTTCCTAAAATGGGTCAAGCCCCAGATGACTTCACCACTGGCTCCCAAGACAGCCTGCATGCACATACCATGACCGCATGGTGCAGCCTCAAGCTGCATTGCTAAGTTGTTGTTGTTTTTTTAAATTTTGCCCCCATCATCCATGTGCACTGCCAGTGACTGGCTCCTGCCTAGATGCCACCTCATTGGATGCCTGCCCCCTTTGATCATGCACAGAATAGCACCTGTGACCCTCCACTGGGCATGGGAGCAGAGGTGTGTCCAGTAAAACACTTGCAATGTACAATTCTGCCCCCCTCCATATGCCCCCTTCACCCCTTGCCTGCTCTTAGACTGTCTGGTTTGTGTATGTTCTATCTGAAGCCATTGGAGGTGTCACACTTTCCCTTTTTTGCATTGTTGCCCTGACCTCCATCTCCGTCCTTTTTAAATACACACCTGCATTGTTGCATTTATATGCCACTTTAGGGTTAGAGTTAGGATGGAGTGCTCTTTTGGGATCAGTCTCGCATCAAGATGTTTATGTGCACGGTTGAAGGTGCACACTTTTCTCGAAGGAGCAGTTTCTTTCAGCTTCTTTTTAGTCCAGTTTTTCCTCCCATAGAGCAGCTGTGGTGTGGTTTCTGGACGCTTTGGGTGTGTGTATCATCCAAAGTGGCCTGAAACTGCTTCTTTTGGCCCGTCTGTGTGAGGCCTTAGATTCTGTCCTCTACTATTTGATTTGATTAAGAAGAGTTTGGGAGAATCTGTACTACAGTCTACATTGCCTGGGCCCCAAACCAGGCTACTCTCTGCTTTTGTGTCCTTCTCTGCTCTTTCCAGCTATCTTCTTTCTGCTTCCGTCCTCCATTTTACTGCCTTTTCCTTTCTTATTCTACATCTACCCTTGAGCTACCACAGTTGTTTTGGAGGTCTAAATGTATGGGGGGGGGGAGAGAGAGAACTGTCTTTCTTCCACCTTCATTTGCTCTGATCTTTCTCCTCTCTCACTATCACAGGTGCATGTATGCACTTTCTCAAGTATCTTCTTACAGTTTTTGTGTATTTGTTTAATCTACTAATCTCAGGAGTCACCCATGCACACACATCCTCATGTTCCTTGGTAGGGCTGTTATGCTTGCCAAGCTATCAACCACCTGGGCTCAGCAGCGAAGTGATAGTAAACTAAATACACAGAGGTGTTTACTTTTATGAATAAAAATAAAGGGAGAAAGTCCTAAGAGAGCTCAGCAAAGACTGAGCACACTCAGTGTTCTCTAGGTGCAATGGAATATTACTGGATATCTGTTGGAAAATAAAAAACATTAAACCAAGATGGGGATTGGCCTGCTTGAGCCCCTAACAGTTTTTAGCATCCTGGTAGAAGGCAGGGATAACTGCAAGCTATCTGGAATCCTTACTGTAGAGGTTAGAAATGTGCACCCCTCCAGATGTTGCTTGCCTACTAATAATAATAATTTAATAATAATAATAATAATAATAATAATAATAATAATAATAATAATAATAAATAATTTTTATTTATAACCCGCCCCTCTGCGTGGCAATCGGGGCGGGGAACAACAGTTTAAAACAAACAAAGTTAAAAATCACTCCCTCATCCCATAATCCCACCCTCCCATCCCCTTAAAAAAGAATTAAACACAATCAAAATTAAAAATGCCACATTAATTAAAAACAGATAAGAGCATAAGATGAAATCAGGGCAACAGATTAAAACACATCTCCCAGCTGAAGTTATTCCAGGAAGGCCTGCCGGAAGAGATCCGTCTTTACTGCTTTCTTGAAGGCAGCAAGAGTAATGATAAGACGGATCTCATCTGGCAGGCCATTCCAGAGTCTGGGGGCGGTTCCATCGCCCTTCATCACTGGCTAGGACTGATCCCACATCTCTCTTAGGAGAAGAAATGATACCCTGTAACATCGGTCCTATTTGAAGGAACCCTTCACTGACATCAGGCACAAATTAATGAAAAGTAGCATTAAAAAACCTAATCCAATACCTCACTAATGATGGTAGAATGCTTGCATTCAACAATATACCTACTGGTTATGCTCTGTGCTTCCATGATATGTATGGCTTAGACACAGATCTAAAAACCCAGACACTCATTAGTGTGGACACAGTTCTAAACTGGGATCTTTGTGATTTTATATAATGCAGTAGAATTGTGCTAATGGTAAGATCTGTAGCTGGACAAAGGACCACAGAATACTATGATGCTGATGGAAGCCACTAGGAGGCAATAGTAAATGGCTATATTAAGACAAAAAATATACAGTACTTTTGCATATATGTTACATGCACATACACAGCTTCCAAGTTGAAACATCTATTTTTGAACATCTTGCAAATCATGCTGAAACTGAGGTCAGGTTTAATCTGCATAAGGGCAAGCTTAATTCTTTTGCTGTCTTACACCATTTCAGTTATTCCAATGACACCATCTGGGTGATTATTATTTTCTACAAGCTGTTAGTTTTCTCACCAAGCAACCATTTAGGTTCTTCACTGGAGACAAGAAACACTTGGATGATAATTCTGCAAAATTCTGAAACTGCCAACACACACACACACACACGTTTCTTTTTCTTTTCTTTTCTTTTCTTTTTTCTTTTCTTTTCTCTCTTCCTCTGTGTGTGTGTTCCTTGCAGATGTTATCGACATGTAACCAGAGTTAGGAACTGCTTCAGATACCTCCGTTAGGAAAAGAGATAATTCCTGTGTTGTACAATATCTTGAATTATGTTCCCTAACACAGGCTTCCAAAATCCAATTCCCATGTGGCATAGACCTATTGAATCAATGGGGATTTAGTAGGTCAACATTTCTGTGATTCATAGATTCAATGAGTGTTCTGTAGTTGGGACTAACAATTGGATTTAGATTGTAGAGAGCAAACCTCTTCAAAAATCTGTCCTCTTCCCCTACCCCCCCCCTTTTGCAGGTGGTGGAGGAGGCCAAGCCCTGTTTATTGATGCTAATCTGTATCATGGAAGAACTGAACACTGCGAAACATTTGATAACCCTCCCCTTTGCCAAGAAAATTTCCAGGTGCAGCTCTTAGAAGTCTGGGGCTTTCAAAACTCTTGATCATCCCTGTCCCTGTTGTGGCTGATATTGCACCCCACAACCTTGCTGGTAGTGAAACAAAAGACATTGGATGACAACTGTCAGTTGGGATGTCAAGAATCGGGAGCAGATCTTTTATGTATTGTCCATTAATACTATTTTTTGTGGCAAGAATCTTTGAAAGGAATAATAATATCTATTTGATGTTGTGATTTGCATTTGCCCCTCAAAACCATTCAACCCAGAGGTCTGAAAGGTTTAATTTTCAAAGAAGAATTGCCATGGGTCACTGCTAGGCTCAATTAAACAAATCCATTATCAGTGCAGAGGAAATCTCAAAGGACTCTTTTTCTGTATTTGATTGGTATAAATAGATACAGTCACTAGGCTTTCTGTCAAAACATTTTTGCTATAAAAGAGGAGAGAAATTAATTTATTTACAAATCAGTGAAACAATACATTCCAAGAGGATGCATTTCCACAGACTTTATTTTAACCTGTATTGATGTATTTGCTCCTGCATATCTTTTTACTTTTTGAGATGCATATTATATTTCTTTTAATTTTGTTGCAACAAATGATATCAAATAGAAAGCCATCAGATGCCAGATACTTGATTTTGATGGATGTTTTCACAGGACAAAACTTGTGTGGGTTTCACTTGATACCATATAAATCGCTGACAATCCCCTCATTTTCCATTTTTGTTATATATAGCACAGATTTTAAAAGGAAGGTGAAGCACTGAAGGGTGAATCTGTCAAGCTTGTTTGGGGATAGTATAGTCACATTTGCACAGTTAAATGTGTTCTCTCCTATTTCTTCATCAGTTTCCAAAGGATTTATTTTTAAGTTGACATGAAATTTCATGGATATTTTTGTGTCCATTTCTTCAGATTATAGTGAGCTAAATCCAGTGCCAGAATGGTGTAATGGCTTGAGTACTGAACTATAACTCTGGAGATCAGGGTTCAATTCCCTGTTCTGTCATGGAACCCCACTGGGTCTCCTTGGGTGAGTCACAGACTCTCAGCCCCAGAAAACACCATTATAGGGCTGCTTTAGGGTTGCCATAAGTTAGAAATGACCTGACAGTACAAAACAACAGCAAATTCAGTATCAGTCGTACCTAGAGTAGACCAGCTGAAATATATAGAACCTATTAGTTGCTATTAAAGTTCAATTGGTTTTGGGTTTTCTCTAGGTAGAAAAATATTGGGTTTTGCCCACACATTGTTTTGCATACACATTGTTTTGCATACAGTTTCCCAAGTGACCACATGTTTATACACTTTTTAAAGTGTGCATTTTCTTTTAATAGACAGCGGTGATTTTATGTGCATCCTTCTTTAATATGAACATTTTTGTGCATACGGTTTTTCATATACGTACTGTTGTATGTATTTTTTAATTGACAAATGTCACCACATAGTTTGGGAAAGTGGAGATTTTGGAATTACAACTGCATTCCAACTAAGGAAATGTGAATAAGGCAACTTTGAATCAACTTAAGATGAGCCTAATGAAATTCTTTCCAGCCCAGGTTTAAGAACAATAATTAAAATAGGAGTCTATAAATCTAAACACATTTTATGGACATTACTGCTCTGCTCAAATAATCTGGTTTACCTCTTCTGAAATGAAGTCTAATTCGGGAGGCAGCTGGGTCCCATCGCAAGGATTTTGCGCCCAAAGCTACCGCATGAGTCCAGCCTTGTTGCAGCCCGGGTCCTATGCATGCTTCGGCAGCCTTATTTCGAAACCGGGAGCTTTCTGATTTTAAAAAAATGGCCACTGAAGCATGCTGGGGACCTGGACTGCAGCCAGACTGGACTCGCCCAGTGGTTTCATTGGCAAGATTCTTGTGATAGGACCAGGCTGTCTCCCAAATTAGACTTCAATTCGGAAGAGGTAATCTAGGTTCTTTAAGCAGAGCAAGAAGGTTCTATGTTTTCTACAGCTACTTTATTCTTCATACCTGATGAATCTTGTTTGTTTGTTCATTTTGTTTTGTTTTTGTCATCCTGCAAACTATGCAGCATTTTAATCTAAAATGAATTTATTTCTTGTGTATATAAACTTTACTATGGTAGTAAAACATTTACAATCTGTAAATTCCTTCTAGCCACACAAGTTTATGATACCACAGTTCACCTTTAAAAATCATCAGATGTTATGCGAAAGGGCTTCTGTTTGTCTAAAATGCAATTGTGCAGGTGGCTTTGAAGTGCAACTGCTTTTCCCAGCCGAGGAAGTTGTTACACAGCTATCAACGTAGGCAGTCCTTTTGGTACTTGAAAAAAGGTGCCACTGAAGAATAAAATGAATCTATAAAATTCCTGTTTCGTTCACCAGATCTTGCTCTGCACACCTGTGTAGCTCTGCACCTGGGCTACAGACCCAAGAACAGAAGCAGGCAGCCTATTTCTGTGGTCAAAATAAGATTTCAGAAAGCCTTGGAGCCCCCATAGACCTTCTTTTAAAAATGGCAAGAGACATCTGATGATTGGGATGTTCTCTAGACTACATCCTTTTAACAGTTCTGCAGGCCTTCTGGGCACCTTGTTGAGTATATAAGCTCAGATTGTCACAAAAATATTTGAATAGGCTTTCCCTCTTAAAGACTGATCCTTTTGCTTTTGGAATGAGTACAGAGGCAGGAGCCTTCTTAGTTTCCTTATTCCAAAGATGAAAGAAAACAAAATTGCCTTTGGCTTTCAAGGCTGTCAGTCATTCTAATTTTCAGTATGATTTCCTTTCTGCAGTGCTGAATAAACATTGTGATACTGTGCTGTTCTTGACATTAGAGTCATATATTTTACAACCAAGAGAATGTTGTTATGATTGTCATCAAACACTAGCAAACACTACTAGTATACAAAGTATAGTAAGAGTACATGCATCCATGTAAAAAGTTAAAGCACAGACTATGTTGATAGCATTGGGAAACATGGTATTTAGAGTCAGTTTGTTAAAACAGTTTATCCAATAATGAATTGGTTGTTCTTCAAGTTGTAGCACATGCCTTTTCCCCCCTGCAAAATGTTTAATAGCTAGACCGCATATCCCGATTGTGGCTTTTTTGTTGTTGTTGTGGCACATTTTTCTCCACCTACTGAACAGATAACTGATCAATACTGTCCTAAGTGACATTTTTACAAAGGTTGTGGCAATGCTGGACATAATTAAGAACAGCCCGAGGAAATGTAACAGTTTCTCACACTGATCATAACTAAGGCCATCCTATTTATTCAAGCTGTATGCAGAAAATATTGTTCGCAAAGCAGGCATAGAGTCAGAGGCAGGAGGAGTGAAGATTAGGGGAAGGGACATTAATGACCTAAGATATGCAGATGACACAGTACTACCAGCAGTAACCAAAAGGACCTGGAGCAATTACGGAAGAAGGTTAAGCACCAAGGTAGGCTTAATGCAGAACATCAAGAAACAAAAATAATGACCACAGAAGAGCTACAAGAAATAATCCTAGATAACAAGAAAATTGAAATAGTCAAAGAATTCCCATACCTTACATCAAATATTGACCAGTACACAGATATCAAGGGGGAAACAGATGGGGAGGAAGGGGCAGCTTGAAGCCACCCCTTCTGAAAATAGAATGGGGTCATAGCAACTGCACGTCGCAGCCCCAATCTGCCTTGAACCTGGCCCAAAAATGAGTGGCAATGATCCACTCCTTTTTGGACCATGGAAAAGCCACCTTTAGTGGCTGCACTGCAGCCCCATGGTGGCTTCAAGATGCTCCGGCAGCATGTGGCATCTAAACGCTGTGCCATTGGAGTGTTTTGAAACCTCCCACATCTGGCGCTGTGATTATGCTTCTTTAAAGAGACGTCTGTTCTGGCCCTTCAGTCAAGAAATCAGAAGAAGACTGGGAATGGGAAGGGCAGCTATGAAAGAACTGGACAAGATTCTAAAGTGCAAAGATATAACTTTGAACACTAAAGTGAGGATAGTCCAAGCCATTGTATTCTTCATCACAATGTATGAGTGTGAGACTTGGACAGTGAAGGAAGCTGATAGAAAATCAACTCATCTGAGATGTAGTGTTGGAGAAGAGTGCTGAGAAGACAAACAAATAGTATTTTTTTTTTAAAAAATTGTTACCTGGATTACCTCCTCAGCCTTAGAGGGAGAGAGGCAGGTCAGCTCCATCCGGCGGGCCTAGCCTAGACTATGGGCTTTTGCAGACTGCCAGAAATAGTGCAAATTGAGTCCACTTTAACTGCCCTGACTCAGTGCTAGGGAATCATAGGAACTGTAGTTTATTGTGGCGCCAGAGCTCTCTGACAGAAAAGTTTCAATCCAGTCCATCTGCCTTGGTCCAGGCCTCAGAGGGAGAGAACATCTGCTGGACCTGATCTCCTTCCCCACTGCCATTCCCTTCTTCTTTTGTGTCGTGTCTTTTTAGATTGTAAGCCTGAAGGCAGGGAAATGTCTAATTAACCATTTGTAAGCCGCTATGAGAATCTTTATGGCTGAACAGCGGGGTATAAATACTCAAATAAATAAGTTCTAGAACAGATCAAGCATGAACTCTCCCTGAAAGCCAGGATGACTAAACTGGGATTGTTGTACTTTGGTCACATCATGAGAAGACAGGAGTCATTAAAAAAGACAGTGATGTTGGGAAAGGCAGAGGACAGTAAAAGGAGAGGAAGACTACATGCCAGATAGTTAGACTCGATCAGGAAGGAGATGGGCCTGAGGGCCTGAGAGGGCAGTTGAGGACAAGGAATCCTGGAGAGCTCACATCCACAGTATCTCCATGAGTCAAGGTCAACTCAAGAGTAGTTAAAAACAAATGCTATTTTAGTTACATTCTTGCTACTCAAAGTGATGGCCCATGGACCAGTGCCAGTCTATGAGCCATTGGTGGCTGATCTGCAGAATATTTCCACAAATAAAACAACTGTAGCCAATGGAGACACATATGGTATTAGTCCATGGTACTTTGGGCGAAAAAAATGCTGATTCCCACATTAGCTTGAGAAACACTACTTTAGTGCACCTTAGAACAAACAAATGCCTAAATACTCTTAGATTACCCTGCTATTCCCCCCCACCAGATTCTGCTATTTATATGGATCACCCCAAATGCATGCATATATATGTCGTCATAACATGGTTGACTTGGGGTGTTTCCAAAGGAAAAACATTATTGTATTTACTGGTTGTGCACTCATTTCCCTCCTCCCCAACCAAAGCAGAAGCATTCAGAAGAAACAAGGACAATTCTGAAAAAGTCAATGGGAACAAAGTTCTAAAGATATTTAGTTCACGTGCCTAGGGATTTCTGGGCTGCAGCAGTACATGCTCTGGGGGACAGGTGAACTACATCAAAGCTTTTGACTAGCTGCAGAGCTGGCATTACCGGTCCTAACCAATTTATTGTATGCCCCAAAGTGCAAGTCAGAAAAGACCAGAAGAGATTAACTTCTGCTTTCCTTCTGACTGGGTGGGCCTATGTCCCCTTTGCTTTATTTAGCAAACCTATACAGAGAGGATTGTACTGAATTTATTCTAGTTTAAGTCTAAGGGAATTATACAACACAGTGACTTATCCTAGTCCCTTTTTTCCACTGCCTCATCACAGATGCCAATAAGCACATAACAGTAGCCCAGCTAGATCAGAACAAAGTCTGCATTATTTTCCCATGTACATGGAGCCCTAGTTGAGCATTCTGTTTCCACAATGGCTAACCAGTTACCTATGGGAATCCCACAAGGAGGACATGAGCGCAACAGTGCTCAAGGCCCATTTTCCATCTCTCCAATTTGCAGTTTGCACTGCTTTTTACATATTTCCATGCCTTCTGTTCCTAAGTACTATTTCTGACCCACATACTACCTCTAATAATAGAGGTAGTTCAAAATTTGTCTAGGGGACATTCTGAAGCAAAAAGAAAGATTTGTGTGTGTGTGTGTGTGTATACAAAAATTCATTGTGATCTCACAGGGGGGCGTGT